CTGGAGTCTCTTTCAAGGCTCCTCTCTCCCAGCCTTCTCCTTCTCTCCTAGCCCCGCCTACCTTCCTGCCTCTATTGGCTATTGGCTAAAAAGTGTTTTATTCATCAGCCAATAATAGAAACATACACAGAAGAACATCCCCTACACACACAGTAACACACACACACAGACAGACAGACAGACAGACACACACACACACACACACACACACACACAATGGCTTTTGTGCTTTCCCTCCCATCGTGTGTGTGTGTGTGTGTGTGTGTGTGTGTGTGTGTGTGTGTACACAATTATAAAAATGGGGATGAGGAATCTGAGGATATTAGTGTGGCTCTGACTTGACTATTCAGCACTAAATCAACACAAAGCATGAGTCTTAGGGTTTTTTTGCTGTGAAGAGAAACCATGACCACAGCAACTCTTATAATTGGAGCTGGCTTACAGTTCAGAGTTTAGTTCATTGTTTTCATGATGGTGGAAACATGGTGGCGTGAAGGCAGGCATGGTACTGGTGAAGGAGCTGAGAATTCTACATCTGGATTGGCAGGCAGCAGGAAGAGAGAGAAACACTAAGCCTGGCTGGAGCTTCTGAAACCTCAAAGCCCACCCCCAGTGACACACTTCCTCCAACAAGGCAATGCCACTATCATGGACAGATTGGATATAGCCAGCACTTTCTGTGTCTACATGAATCTGGAACAAAATATCAGTGAAGACTACCCAATGAAAAGATTGCCCACTAAGAAGACTCCCGTACAGATTTTGAAAGCTGTCAATCCAGCATGGTCTTGGCCTTGGTTTTTCTCTTCCTCTTGTGTGAATGCCACTTAATTTCCATCAACTTCCAGCCCACCACCTTGAGACAATACTGGGCTCAATAAAATTGCAGAGTTCCAATGGAGAGGTACTTGAGTTGGTGTATATGGTGTTAAGCAATCTGTGACCATCAAGACCATGTTGGAATTTTGGTAATGTATGATGGAGATAGTGACCTTGTTTCTCTGCCAAATGTTAATGCAGTTCATATTTGCAGATTATTGCTTGAGTTTCTGCCCTGACTTTTCTTCATGATGAATTAAAAACTATAAGCTAAAACAAACCCTTTCCTCCACAAGTTGCATTTGGTCATGGTGTTTTATTATAGTTATAGAAAGGAATGCCAAAACTCAGTAAATCAAAAACATTTTTAAAATGAGGAAGGAAGGAAAACAAATTTTTCTATAATTAGGAACAAGACGAGCATCTGTTGTCAACTGCTGTTTATTTATAGTACCTGAGAGCTTTGCCTGAGCAATAAGGCAAGAGAGTGAAATAAAAGTGATACAGATATGGAAAGAAAAGTTAAATTATCCTTGTTTGCAGATCTTATTATTCCTATAATTAAAAGACTTAACTGCTCCGCTAGAAGACTAAGATCTGATAAACACTTTCAGCACTGTAGCAGGATACAAAATTAACATGTAACATTAGTATAATAACAAAAGCATAACTTTCTGTTATGCTTTTACACCAGGGGGAACTCCCTGAAAACCTTGTGAAAATTCCAGATACTGAAGTTTCAGAAGAAAACCCAAGACATAGGTATAAACTTAGACAAAGTTGTTGAAATCTACAATGAAAAATACAAAGCACCAGAGACAGAGAGTAGAAGGCAGTAGAAATTGGAAAGACTACTTGTGTTCATGGCTTGGCAGAATTAAATTGTGAAAATGACTGTATTGCAGAAAGTGATACATAAAATTCAGTGTAGTTTCCATGAAAATTTCAATGGTGTTTGATACCGAGGTAGAAAAATCAACCCCAATATCTGTATGGAAACAAACTTGAATAGGCAAAATAGTCCTGAGCAAAAAGAAGTGGAGGTGTCACAGTAATTGACTTTGTACTGTGTAACTGTGGTAACAGAACCAGCTTGGTACTGGCACAGACGCAGGAAGGCAGAGCAGGGGAATAGAAAGGGCAGAAATAAGGTTTACATCCTGATCCTCAAGCAGCAGGAAGAGACTGAGCCTGGAGTAGGCTTTTGAAACTTCAAAGCCCATCCCTATGACACATCTCCAACAAGGACACACTTCTGAAACCATCCCAGTCGTCTACCAACTGGGAACCAATCATTCAAGTACATGGATGTTTCCCCTTTCCCTTTTCCTCCCTCCCTCATCTCCATGTCTCCACTGGATGCAAGCTCTCGGCTGGTGCTCCAGCGCCATTCCTACCTATCTATCTGCTGATTGTTCTCGACACCGTGATGGTCATGGACTCACGGTGCTCTGATGTTGTAAGAAAGCCTTCAGTTAAATGCTTTCTTTTATAAGTTGCCTTGGTCATGGTCTGTCTTCAAAGCAACAGAACAGTAACTAAGACAACTGGATAACAAAATGTTATATGTAAACAGTAGTGTTTTATTCAGCCATAAAGAAAATGCAATCATGTTGTCTCCAGGAAAATGGTAGGAACCTGGAAGTCATTATGTTAAGTCACAGAGGCCAGAGATGTGGGAGGTCCTTCTGTATGCTGTGAATATGTGTTGCTTTTATTGGTTGATAAATAAAACTGATTTGGCCAATGGCCAGACAGAATATAGCTAGGTGGGAAATCCAAACAGATAGAGAAAGAAGGCAGAGTCAGGGAGATGCCATGTAGCCGCTGAAAGGGTAGGATGCCAGAACATTACTGGTAAGCCATGGCTACACGGTGATACACAGATTATTAAAAATGGGTTAATTTATAATAGCTAGCCAGTAATAAGCCTGAGCCATTGGCCAAACAATTATATTTAATATTAACCTCTGAGTGCTTATTTCATAAGTGGCCGCAGGTACCCGAGAGCTGGGGTCCGGGGGACCAGTGGGACAGAGAAAAACATTTAGCTACAGGCCAGTCTCAAACAGATCCTAGGAATGGTGGTGCATGCTTTTAATCTGATAGAGCACTTGGGAGACAGATACAGGCAGATGCGTGCTTTGAGGCCAGCCTGGTTTACATTGTTCAGGACAGCCAGAACTATATAGAGAGACGGTCTAAAAACATGAACGAAACAAAAAACCCCAAATATATTTCCTCATTTGGAATCTGAGGAGGAAGACAAGCTAAGATGGAGGAGGCAGATGGGGAGAAAGGATCAGAAAGGATACTGTGAAGGCTGGAAAGACAATTTAGCAGTTAAGAGCACTTGTGGCTTGAAACGTGAGCCTGTAGGTTTAAGGTATCTTTATTCAGATAAATACCAGCCAAATGCAAGCCAGAGCATGTCCAGGGCAGCCAAATATTGAGGCCAGAGAGAAGGGGCCTCCCATGTGCTCTGCAACCCCTTAAGAGCCCATCCCGAGTCATCCTGACCTCTAGCCAGCCTCTTAACAGGCTGGCTAGAGGTTCCCTACAGTGGCTCCTGCAGAGGACCTGGGTTTAAGTCTCAGTATCCATGTGGTGGCTCACAGTACATCACTCCAGTTCTAGGGGATCTGACAGGCCCTTCTCTGACCTCTGGGCATAAGGCACACATGTGGTGTATATACATATAGGCAAAACACTCATACACATAAATGTTAAATTTGAAGAGCATTGCCGGGCGTTGGTGGTGGACACTTTTAATCCCAGCACTCAGGAGGCAGAGGCAGGCGGATCTCTGTGAGTTCGAGGCCATCCTGGTCTACAGAGTTCTGGGACAGGATCCAAAGCAATACAGAGAAACCCTGTCTTGAAAAACAAAACAAAAGCCAAAAAACAAAAACCTCAAAAACCAAAACAAAAAAAGGATTAGCCAGCACACTGACTAAAACAAATCTCATTGCGATGTGATAGCTCAGTGGTAAAGTGCCTGCCTCTCACACATAAGGACCGGAGTTCAGTTCCCACTGTCCTTCCAGAAGCTGAGTGTGGTGGTATTCACCTATAACTCTAGATTATGGTGGTATTCACCTGTAACTCTTCATGGGGGAGGTGGGGGTGGGTGGGAAAGGAGATGACTCCTGGAGCTTGCTGACTTCCCTGTATGAACAGTAGGTGAGCAGTAGGTGAGGTCTGGGTACATTGATAGACCCTATCTCAGAAGATAAGATGGAGAGTGATAGGAAACACCCATCACCGGGTCGGAGAGATGGCTTAGCGGTTAAGAGCACTGACTGTTCTTCCAGAGGTCCTGAGTTCAATTCCCGGCAACCACATGGTGGCTCACAACCACCTTGAATGTGATCTGGCGCCCTCTGCTGGCAGAAGACTGTATACATAATAAATAAAATCTTAAAAAAAAACAACAAAAAAAAACCCATCACCAGCCCTGATCTCAACATGCATGCACATGTGTGAGCACACATGCCTATATTTATATACTACATACACACAGAGTTCTAGGTTCCATGGCAACAGAGCAGTGTCTTAAGAAAAATCTGAGGGCGATGCTTGGTGGTGTTTGCCTTTTTTGGGTGGTTTGTTTTACTCATGTTTATTTTATTTTTAATTTTTATGTTAATCTTTTTAGTTTGTGAAATTAAGCATAATTACTTTGTTTTCACCCTTTGATTCTTCCCATGTTCTACCCTTGTTCTCTCTCAAATTTATGGCCTCAGTTTGTTTAATTGTTATGTCTCTGTCTCTCTGTGTTATGTATTTCTAAGAATATCAATACAACCTGCTTAGTTTGTATAAAGTTACCTGTATCATATGACTTCAGGGCTTACCTCTGTTTAGTGCCCAGCCCCAGCCGCTAGAACACAACTCCTGTGCCTGAGGCCCAAGGATCACAGTGGAAGAGAACAGAAAGATTGTAAGAGCCAGAGGAACAGGGAATTTGCTGTCAAATTTCATTTCCTATGAAGTTTTGTTAGCATGGTTGCTTAAAGAAGATCTGAATGAGAATGACACCAGCAGACATACTAACACGGAAGAGGGAAGTCTTATAGGGCCTTAGCCTTAAATGTAGAACTACAGGCATCTCGTAAGTCTTAGGACATCCCTGCAAGTGACCAGATTCAAATGGTCTGTCTCTCTCCCTTTCCCCCAAGGGTACATAAACAGTAAGAACTGCCGAGGAGAACAGACTAGCCTGCTGCCTGGAAGAGGCTCAGACCTGCTTGAAGGAGATATTCTCTGACCTGTTGAGCTCTCTGCAAGTAGTACAATGAACTCAAGGGTTCCTGCTTTTGGTGATGTAGCTGCATGCCTTTGAGTTGTCCCTGCCCCTGCCCCCTCTCATCTCCTCCTGTGAGTAAGCATAATAAACTCACTGGTTTACCTCATTGGACTTCGCTGGTATCATTACTTTGGTCCTGTTGTAGGTTCTTGCTTGAGGTGAATAGATGTTTGTCTCCAGGAAGGAGTGGTTGGCAGGCACCCTAACACTGCGACCCTTCAGTACAGTTCCTCATGTTGTGGTGACCCCAGCCATAAAGTTATTTTCATTGCTACTTTGTGACTAATTTTCTGCTGTTGTGAATTGTAATGTGAGTGTCTGTGTCTTCTGATGATTTTGTGTGATCCCCATGAAAGGGTTGTTGAGCTTCTGAAGGGGTCGTGGCTCACAGGTTGAGAACCACTCACCTAAAGTACATGCAACTATTGTCATAGTCAGTGTCAAAAAGGTTATTGTCACTTCATTGTGCTGATAGGACTTTAACTCAGTAAAATAGTTGGAAAAAACTCTTATTCAGAAGGGAGCGTATCCTTTTATATACAAAGTTGTATTTCCTTTTTTTTTTTTTTTTTTGGTTTCTTTAATACAGGGTTTCTTTGTGTAGCCTTGGCTGTCTTGGTACTCACTTCCGATTTTTTTTTTTTTTTTTTTGGTGTGAGATCTCATTATGTAACTAAGGTTGGCCTTGGATTTGGGATCTACCTGCCTCAACTTCCAGAGTGCTGGGATTACAAATATGCACCACTGTGCTTTACGTAATTCTTTGCCTTTTGACTTTTGTTGAATAATCAAAAGAAAATTGAAGTAGCTATATTAATTTCAGATAAAGCAGACTTGAGGAAGTTACAAGGAAGAAACACAGTCCCTACATAACAAAATACAGCCATTTCTTCAAAAAGATATTACAGTGAGTGAGGCAAAGCAAACTAGTGGTTTAGAGGCCAGCCCAGCCCATGTGTGACCCTGCCTCAGCACAGAGCCAACCAACCAACAAAACCTGGAACTTGAGTATAACAGCCAGATCCACTCTTAGAATTGCAGAGTCCAGCCCCTTTCAGTGTGCCTGTTAGCCGGGCGATGGTGGCGCATGCCTTTAATCCCAGCACTCGGGAGGCAGAGGCAGGCGGATCTCTGTGTGTTCGAGACCAGCCTGGTCTACAAGAGCTAGTTCCAGGACAGCCTCAAAGCTACAGAGAAACCCTGTCTCGAAAAACAAAAAAACAAAAAACAAACAAACAAAAAAAATCAGTGTGCCCGTTGCTGAGCCGTTAGCACTGGGTTAGCTGATAAGTGCAGAAAACACATTCCTCTAAGCTTGTGAGGATAAACCCAAGACAGAGCACATTCGGGGACATGAAATCATTTTTTAACTTGTGCCTTTACACCACAATAGAGTTAAGTTAGAAACCAATAGCTCTGTCATTGAATAACTTGTGTTGTAAAATTAGAAAAATAGTTGGAAACTATAAAAATTTCTGGAGGTTAAACAGTATCCTTCTAAAATAATATTGGATAAAGAAATTACAGGGAAAGTAAAATTTTTTGAAGAAAGCAGGCTTAGATAAGTGTGAAGAGTTGCACACCCATGTCAAAAAGGAAAGGGATAAAGTCCCAAGCTTCTAGTTCGGAGAATGAAGAAAGGCTCCCGTGTAAGCCTAGAGCAAGTGGAAGAAAAGGGTAAGAGACATTATAAGACTGAGTACAAAGATGAAAACTAAAAGCTATTTTAGAATTTTGTTTTATTTAAGACAGACTTTCATGTAGCTGAGGTTGGAATCATGGGTCCTCAGGTTTCTGTGGTAAGCAGACCTGGAGCAACTGTCAGGTGCCGCCTGTAGGGCAGGGCTTGAGCAGTGGACTGTGCCTGCCCATTGTGCTCTTTGTGAGCAGAGCATCCTGCTTGTCCAACCTGTCCCCCAAAGGCAGCTACGCTGCCAGTGTTAGGATAACTACATGCCAGCCTCACTGGTCTGGTTCATCATTCCTGGCCCACCTCACTAGCAATGGGGTAGGTCACATTGCAGGGGTGGCATTCACATTGGGAACCTGCTGGAATTTTTTCATGTATGGACCCGACTTTTCTTTTGGTTGTATTGTGTTTTGTTTTAGACCAGGCTGGCCTGGAACTCACAGAGATCCACCCGCCTTTGCCTCCTGAGTGCTGGGATTAAAATGCTGGCTTAGTTTATAGGTCTTAATGGCCACTGCAGTGTCTGCACAGCTGACAGTTCCATCAGTACATCCAAACTTTTGTTTTGCAAGAGTCAAAATTGATTACGTGTTTTTCTCAGAGGTTTTGTTGGCTGGGACAAACACATAGTTCTCTCCTAACTTCTTGGCACTCAGCTGGCTGCCACCTCCAGCTGTACCAATGGCATGTCATCCCTGATAGCAGGATTAGGGCAAACTAGGCAGTCATAGATTTGCAATCCGATAGCTGTGCTGGGTTACCTAGAGCCTATTGGTCTTTTGTCCTGAGGGGCTAGGACCTGGAGCCTTGACTTCCACAGAAAACAAGTCTGTTGTGGGAGCCTTGACCTTCCACAGAAAACAAGTCTGTTGTGGCTGGCTTCCACTTGTTGCTGGCATCATATTCTTTGATGCCCTTATTGGACTTGAAGGAGGATGTGAGATTAAGGTCCCTGGAAACCCTTCAAGATGGTCTGTTGCTTCTTTCCAGCCTGGTCCCACAAATAAACACATGGTCTCTAAATTAATTATAAAACTGTTGGCCAATGGCTAGGGCTTCTTACTGACTAGCTCTCTCAATTATTAACCCATTTCTATTAATCTAAGTATTTCCACATGGTCTTATCTTACCAGAGAAGGATCTGGACCTGTTACTCCTTCCTTGGCTACATAGTATTACCTCCTCGAGGCTTCTCTCTGTATCCTCTATGCAGCATTCTTCTCCGCTGGTAGCCCCGCCTATACTTTCGGCCTGGCTATTGGCCAACTAGTGTTTTATTCATTAACCAGTAAGAGAAGCATATATACAGAAGGACATCTCCCACCAATGGGCCAGGTGTTTGGTGTGTTGAGTTAGCTCTTCCAGAGCTAGTTGCTGTTGTTGGCAGACATGACTAGTACAGATTGTAGCTGTTGGTGTGGAAGTTCAGATCACCAGACCAGAATGCAGGGTGGTTCTGTGTTGGGAGTCATTGGGTTCATGATGTGTGAAGACTAAATCCACATCGAAAGTAACAACACTGGTGCCCTTAGAGAGGTCAGGTTTGGTGGGAGGGTGACACAGAGCATTGAGCCATCAAGGAGAGGGGAGTGTGGTAGAGGAGCAGAGGAGAGCAGATTTAGAAATTTGAGCTAATTAAAACTGCTAATTGAGCAGTTAAGAGAACTGGTTGCTTTTCCAGAGGACCGGGGTTTGAGTCCATAATGTGGTTCACAACCATCTACAACCCCAGTCCCAGTGGATCTGACACCCTCTTTTTGCCTTCATAGGCATTGCATTCATGTTGTGCACAGCCACAGACGCAGGCAAAACACCCATATACGTAAAATCAAAATATATGCTATGAAAGTAAAAACAAAACAAACCCTAATATTGTGTATGTTGGCACACAGTGTGTATGCCCCAGCACTTGGTGTGGGAGTCACTTTGTTCTCTGCTTCCATCTTTACATGGTTCTGGGATCTGAACTCTGATATCTAGGGTTATGCAACAAATGCCATTACCTGTTAAGCCCTTTTCTCCCAGCTCCTCATGTCACAAGGAGCCCTGTACCCATTTCTTCTCTCCTGTAAATTGTTGACTTTTTGTCTCTGTATCTGCCCGATATATATATATATATATATATATATATATATATTCTTTTTGATATATATATTCACATTTTCAGTGTTCACTTTTCAGAATAAATGTGTAGCATGTTTGTGAGGTGGATAAGAACTTCACAACATGTTTGCGTTGTGAGGTTCATGGTTTAAGAAAACAGTTTGGAAGTAGGCAGTTGGACAAGTAGGGCTAATGGGCGAGAAGGACGCAGTCAGTGTGAAAGGTAACTAAATCCCATGGAACGTGTGTCACCACTGCCCAGCCAGCTTTAGTATTCTTGGATCCCTCTGGTGAACTGTGAGGGTCTGGGTCTGTGAGTTGGCAGTAGTTGTTTGGAGGTGAGGGTAGGATATCTGGAAGGAAGCAAACTGAACAAGGAATCTGCCCTGTACCTGTTTGCTTTGGGTCCTATGCTTCATCCTGCTTGTTTTTCTTGTGGGCTTTCTCCTCAATAACCATGGCCAGATGGCCTCTTGTATAATGCTGTTCAAGAAGGAAAGAAACTCTATAGGGAGGGGTACTGGAAGCTAAACAAAAGCAAGAGACATCTTGGGGCAAATCTTTGCCTCATCAGTACTCGAAGCTGGGTCTTTCTGTATTAGATGCTTTACTGCTGTGTCGAATGCCTTAATGTGTCTTAGAATTTCTTCTCCATATTATTGGGTTGAGGTATTGGATGTGGGGAGAGGCCACCATTTTATAGCTTTGGACATTCCATAATGAGAGTACTGTTTACTGTCAGATGTTGGGGTAGGATTTTATGCATGCATTGGTGTTTTAGTGTCTGTGAGTGAATACATAAACTTAAGTACATAAACTTAAGGGTGGCTGGCATTATTTTAATTCAGAAGAATGTTTATTGTGCTTCAGCCTTTTCCCCTGCCACATAAGACTTGAGATCTTTTCAAAGATCAGATAAGTTCTGCATGACTTACAATCTTTATGGCTACTTATGTCACAATCAAGACTTTTTAAAAAATTACTGTGTGTGTGTGTGTGTGTGTGTTTACACTTATGGTCACGTGTGGTGGACAAAGAACAACTGAGTTTGTTCTTACTTTTTATTGAATTCTGAAGATCAAACAGACGCTAGGCTTCCGTGGCAAGTGTGTTTACTCACCAAGCCATTTTGCCAGCCCAGAAGCTCTTCATAAGAAACATTGTGTCAGGCAGTGGGCGCACACCTGTAATCCCAGCACTAGGAAGTCAGAGGCAGGCAGATCTCTGTGAGTTTGAGGCCAGCCTGGTCTACAGAGCAGTTGCTGTTCTTTAGAGGACCCCAGTTTGGTTCCCAGCGCTTGCGTGGCAGCTCACAACCATGTGTGAATCCTGTTTCGGGATCTGACACACTCTTCTGGCTTCTGAGGGAATCAGGCACGCATGTGGTATCTATACACATATGCAGGCAAACATATAAAATAAAAATGAATAGGTTCCCCCAACAACAACAACAGAAAGGTGAAAGAAAGTTCCAAAGTCTGGGCGGTAGAATAATGGTAGCAAAAACAAGTTTAACTTTTATCACCTCAATGAGTTTTGAGTAAAATTTTGCAGGATCACTGAGTTTGTGGTAATGATTACAATACAACTAAAATGCGCTTTTTATTCTGTTCTTAGGTGGCGACAGAAAAGGTGGCAGAAAAGCTGAGTTCTACTCTCTCATGGGTGAAGAACACAGTCTCGCATACAGTCAGTCAGATGGCCAGTCAGGTGGCAAGCCCATCTGCTTCTTTACATACTACATCCTCATCTACCACACTGTCAACACCAGCACTTTCACCGTCTTCCCCATCAAAATTGAGTCCAGACGACTTAGAACTCCTGGCTAAGCTGGAAGAACAAAATCGGTGAGCGAAATTGCTGTGCTTTTCTCTTCTTGGTTATCATACAAACCAAATCACTGTCAATTTAAATATTCATTTCTACTGAGAATATTTGTTTCCTGGTTTCTGACCCCTTGTTTATCAGAATTACTGAACAGACAGGTTCCAACATTCCTTTGAGGAGGTTAGTCAGACTAAGATTTACCTTCAGCTAATAGCAATCTAGATTTTTCTTGGTGTCGCAGACTCTCTACACCATTCTTGAATTTATGAATTATTAAGGCAAAACTATCATTTTTAATTATTTTCAGTGCTGGGGATTGACCCCTCAGGCCTTACTGTGTTAGACAGATGCTCCCGTAAAGGCCTATGTACCATCTATACTTTTTTATTCAAACTTTCTAAGTGGTTCCGTTTGGTTAAAGTATAAAAGAATTCAGTCTAGTATGAGTAACTGATTTGTATTTTAGAGTGGGAAATCTCGTGGAAGGCAAGGTATCTCACTCTCATCAGGAGTATGAGATACAGATATTGTTTCTTCTTCGAGGAGTCTGGATCTTTTGTGCTGTTTACTCTGTGGTTAAACTTTGAACTCTCTGGACCTGGGTGTGGGCACACAATTGTAATCCCAGCACTCGGGAGGCAGAGGCAGGCGGATCTCTGTGAGTTCGAGACCAGCCTGGCCTACAAGAGCTAGTTCCAGGACAGTCTCCAAAGCCACAGAGAAACCCTGCCTCAAAAAACCAAAAAAAAAAAAAAAAAAAAAAAAAAAAAAAAAAAAAAAAAAGCTGTCAAATTATGTGCCTCGGCAGGGCACTAAAGACTGCTGTCCTTCACATCCTTTTGTGAATGACATCCAAAGAGTCCTAGAACTCACTCTGTAGACGAACCTGACCTCACACTCAGAGACATTTGTCTTTGTCTCCTTAAGTACTGGGATTACAATCGTCTGCCCACACCCAGACCCAAACCTATTAAGTTTCTTTGCCTGATCATAATTACTCAGATACTTTAGACAAATATCAGTTGTTTATAGATGTTTGGGTCTGTATCTGTACTCCATTTCACTATTTTTTTGGTTTTAAGGTTGTACTGTATTGTCTTATTTATTATAGCTTTGTAATAGGTTTGGAAATCAGATATTAGTCTCCTTTGGTAGTTTGAATAAGAATGTCCTACAGGCTCATATATTTCAATGCTTGGTCCCTAACTGGTCTTGGAAAAGATTAGATGTGTCACTAAGGGTGGCTTTTGAATTTACAAAAGCCCATGCCAGGCCCAGCAAAAGATATATTTAATTTCATTAAAACAACAATAACCCAAATATAATGTCATACTTGAAGATTTTGCTTTCTTCCTCCTCTTTGGCCGTGCCTCCCTCTCATTTCTTGGATCTCTGTGATAGTTGGTAAGGAAGTTGTGTATTTTACAAGTCTAAAAGTAAAAAGTACTTGACACAATTGCTGCCCGTGAAACCACAGTAGATATTCTTACTTAGGGTGTACGATTTCCTTCCCCACATGGAGATACCACTCTGATTGTGTCTTTAACTGTTTAAGAGATGGAAAATCGGGCAGTGTTTTGGAAAATTAAAATGTAAGAAGCATGAGAATAGAAAATTATTTTCTTTTATATGGTTTTATTGCAACTATATCTTTAAAAAAGTAAGTGTACGTGGCAACCCCAGAAAAATGGGAAGAAATGGTTCAGTGTAATATCAAAGATTTATTTGAAGAAAGTTAATAATTGATAGGCTTAAGTTAAAATAGGACAGCTGTTTTTGGTTTGTTTTAAAATGTTTTTCTTTTTCATATTAAAAATACAAAGGCATTGGTAGAGATGAATTTAAGGAGGTAAGTTTAAAGTGTGATGGTATATTTTAGTTCAAAGGGGAAATATTACTGTTTTAAAGTTTGAACTACCTATTTATGAGTTTTAAAATTTTGGTAAAGCAATCTTGTTTATTTCCTTTTACTTGCTTAATTTTACTTTTTGGCATTTCTTTCAGGCAATACTACAATGATAAAACAGAAACATCTTTATACTAAATATATTTTATGTTTTTAAGATAAAATTACTGTGAATCTTTGATACCCTAGTTTAATGTCCACACTGGATCTATACTGTTGAGTGTTTTAGTCACTAACCCATGGCTGCTGGGCACTTGAGATATGGCTCATCTGACTCAGACGTGCTGTTAAGTTTAAACCATGCCAGGTTTTTGAAGGCTTATTTTGAAAAAGTAATATGACATTACTTTTAGGAAAACGAGTACATGTTAAAATGACATTTTCTTTTTTGAAATGACATTTCTTTATATTGCATAAAGTAGCTCTATGTGCTGGTTCATGCTTGTAATCCTAGCGCTTGGAAGGCAGAAGGATCACTACAAGTTCCAGGTCAGCTTGGGCTATAAAGTGGGACCTTATCTTAAAATAAATAAAGAAGCCCAAATAAATAAAATAATAAATTATAAAAGTTGGTAACTTTTAATCCTTCAAAATATAGCTACTGCCTGGAACATTGAAAGCTGTATAAGTGGCTTGCATTATATTTCTGTTGTATAGTCTGGTCTAGGTGGTCTAATGTTCATTAAATACTTAAAAATGCATAAAAGCAGCGTAACCTCAGTTTCCCCAAGGTTACTGTCTATAAAATATCCAGCAAAATTCATTAACAAATGAAAAGCTTTCAAGCAAAACAGATACTTTCAAGTCTATGTAAAAAATATATCTTTAAAAAATATTTATTTTATATGTATGAGTGCCTGACTAAATGTGTGTGCAATACTTGTGGAAGCCAAAAAAAGGTTAAAAGGGTGTTGGAACCTTGGACTGGGACTAATTGTGGTTGTGAGCCAACGTGTGTGCTGGACCTGAACCTGTCCTCTGTAAGAGCAGCAAGTGCTTTTAACCACTCGAGCCATCTCTCCAGCCGTCTGTGTGTGTTGTGTGTGTGTGTTGTGTGTGTGTGTGTAAATAACATGTATATAAATTACAACAACAATGCATTATATATATATATATAGGATGTATATATATTATAGGAAAACAGCATTTCATTTGAATTGGTTTTGTTTTTCTGAGTTTTTTTCTTTCGGTGAAGGCGGGATTTTATTTAGATTCTCACATGGTAGCTCAGAATTTCCTAGAACATAGTGTGTAGTCTAGGCTGGTCTCATGCCTCAGCCTCCTCGGTGCTGGGGTTACAAATGTCAGCCCTCCTATCTGACTGAGGATGGTTACTCTTTTTTTTTTTTAAGTTTTTATTTATGGATTATGTATACAATCCTCTGCCTGCATGCTAGCAGAGGGCACCAGATTCATTCAAGGTGGTTGTGAGCTACCATGTAGTTGCCAGGAATTGAACTCAAGACCTCTAGAAGAAGAGTTAGTCCTCTTAACTGCTGAGCCATCTCTCCAGCCCCCGAGGATGGTTACTTTAAGTTCTTTGTATAAAGAACTTGAGCTGTCATTCTAAAGAAACAAAGCAAAGAAAGAAATAAAAAAAAAAAAATTGGTTTTTCAAAACTTTTTTTTTTTTTTTTTTTTTTTTTTTTTTCTTCAGAAAAGAGGTTGATTTTTCAGAGTTGTCATTTTGACACTTCATGTTGTTTTCTGTTATTTTTTTTATTGATCAGAGAGGAATTTGTATGTGTTGACAGGAAAACATGAGTCAAGCATGTGGTCTGAATGTTTGTGACTACAGAATTCCTATGTTGGACTCTAATCTGAAAGTTGAGCCTTTGGAAAGCTCTGTTCCCATGGATGGAATTAATGTCTTCTTAAAATGAGACTTTAGGAAGATTTTGGCAGCGTCTGTCACGTGTGAACATGGTTATAGAAGGCACTGTTAATGAGACACAGCTCTTGTCAGACTTGAATTTTAGTGCGTGGATTTTGGACTTCCAAACTTCAGAACTGAACAATAAATATCTGTTGTTTATAAAATACCTAATGCAACTATTTTGTTATAGCAGGCTTAATGAACCAGATCTTGCTGATTTGCTAACCATTTAATTGACAAATTATTTTCTTTCTCCAACATGTTTCACATCCTGTTTTGGTGTGATATTAGAGACCTTGGAACCTTATGCTGGAAACACTGTTCACCTTGTGATAAGACTGTCTGCTTTTAAGTGACAGAATAGTTAGCTTTCCATCTGTTTTTCTAATACAGCATTTTCCTGCTTTAGTTCTTTATAAACTGTTTTAGCAATTTGCAGATTACCAGTTGGCATGCTGACTGGTTGCTGCTGTATCTTGCTCTGATAACCATAGGAAAACAGAGAGTCAAATCTCACCTGATATTCAAAGTGTTTAATGTCATCTGTTCATAGTTGCCAAAACTTCTGGAGTCTTTACCTTTTTTTACCCCCTGAACTTTAAGCTATGTTTCAAACTGTTGGTACTGCCCACAAGGATGTCTTCCAAGTACTTCAAAGCGCAAATGTTGATTGCTGAGAACCTTTCCTCTGTTGATAATTGTAATTTCTTGACAATTTCATGCATGTATGTAGTGTAGCTTGACCATGTATACCTCTTCCTTTACTAGTTCTCCCATGCCTACTGCAATCTTCTCTCCTAGAAAGTTTCTCCATCTACCAGGGTTTTTTCTCACTGGCACGTGGACAGCTAGTCACTGAGGAAAGTGACTCCCCTTGTTCTGGCAGCCATTAACTGTCAAGGGCTCCTCTGGGGAGTCCATGAGTCTTGTCAGGGTGGCCACAGTTGCTGCTGTGTTACATTCAGAGATGAGTTTCACAGCACCCCTCTCCCCGTCTTCCTGCTATCTTGTCTGTGACGCTCCCTGGGCCGAAAGAGGTTCTAGAGATGTTCTGTTTAGGGCTAAACACTCAGTAGTCACTTACTCCAAATGCTAGAACATATATACATTTCTGCATTGCACACACACACATGCAGACGCAGGAGAAAGAAGTTTCTCTAAGTGTCTCATGGTCAGACTGGATGCCAGCTGCAGGGGTGGGGTAGCATGAGAGTGAGGTGCCAGGGCTCTTTTGTACT